ATAGAATACACTACTATAGTTTAAAAAAATCGCAAAAATAATAATTAGCAGGCACAGGCACCAGCACCGTCAACGGCACCCCCGCCGCCCCACCGCACGTGCCGACCATGAACGAGCAGGTCGCCGAGCAGGCGCGTCTCTCGCGCATCGCCGAGAAGACGCAGCGCGAGGCGGCCGAGAAGGCAGCGGCGCACGCCCGCAAGGTCGTCCCGGCGGCGACGGAGCGCCCGTCCCTCAACGAGGCGGCGCACCTCGCCGGCCTGACGCCGCGCGTCATACTCGACGCCAAAAAGGCCACGGGCAAGGACTCGCTGTACCTGTCGGCCATTGGGCGCCGCTTCCGCGATGACAAGCTCGCAAGGCGTGGCAGCTGTACTGGAAGTACTTCAACGGGCAGTCGGCGCTCGAGCGCATTGCGCTGCAGGAGGACATGAAGCGTAAGGAGGCTTGGACTCAGTTGACGGCTATGAGCGAGTATCTCATTTGCGTTCGTCACTGGTGAGGCGGAGCATGGGGCCAGCTACATGTAGCTACCACGGACGTTGGGGGAAGGGGGGTTGGCAGGGGGCGGAGTCTATACGCGCTGCGTCGTCGTTGCACATGTCATGGACCAGGGCATGGGCCGGATGCGGGAGCCTCGGCCGCCATGTTGAACAAGACGATACAGCTATGATGCACATGCGATGACGTGCTGCTGTTGGATAGCCCGGTTCGATGCTGTTTGAAGTATCACGACGAAGGAGCTTTAAGAGTAGTTTCTGTGCGTTGTGTGCGTATTGAACTACGTAGCTTGCCAAATAATCAAGGTATACCGTGAGGAAAAAACAAGAGAGAGAACAAGCCTCAGTTCGCCGATCCCAAATGCCTGGCCGCCGCCCCCAGAGGTATCACATCCGCCCGTCTGTAATGATTCAAAAATGCTGCACTATAAGAGGACCCGGTGGCCGAAAAGGAAATAAACAAAATCAAGAGGCGAGGAAACAGGAAGATGCAACGAGTCGGTGCCCGGCAGAGCCTGTCCGTCAGGCCAGTCGTCGTGATTCCTCTCTCGAGAAGAACATTAAAAGGAAAGGAACACTCAGCACAAGGCGTGCTCACTTCGTACTCATCCAGGCTCTGTGATGCAAACGCCTGAAACCGTGCAAGATCCCCACCCCCCCATGCGAACCCAAAGAGAAGCTTTAATGCAACGATCCAAGACCAAAATAGGAAGAGAAATCAAAGGTCGAGCGACCTCTACTGCGTGAGGTCCATGCCAAAGTCGTCATCGCCCTTGAAGTTGAGCGAGACGTCATCATCGGGGTCATTCCAAAACTCATTAGCGCCAGTCAAGTCGCCGGTGACTGTGCCGTCGTCATTGTCGAGTGGGCTGCCGCCGAGACCGTCAGAAGGGTTACCGGAGCCGTTGAGCGGCTCGCCGCGGAGATCGGTGTGATTGGGAACGCGCAGGCCAGATCCTGCCGTGCGCGAGTAGCCCAGGGCGTCGTTCTTGGAGATGGCCTCCATGAGCTCAGTTTGCATCCGTTTCTCATCATCTGTCAGCTCAAAAGGGAAATGACCACCGAGCTCGGCAATGATGTTCATGAGCTCCTCCTGCTGTTGAAGCTTGAGATGGAGCATCCACATCAGATCGCGGGACCAGCTGACAGCGCCGTTCAGAATATCGCCCTTGTTGGGTCCCTTGTCCTTGTCTTCCAGAGGCAGACCGGTCGTGATGTTGCCAGCAGCTCCACCTGTTGCGCGGCGAGCGCCAGGCCCAGCCAGGCCAGATGTCGCCTGGGAGGGGCTGGAAATACCAGACAGCGTAGGCGACAGTGGCGTTCCATTCTGGATCATCTTTCGAATCTTCTCGTCTTCGAGCCTGTGCGAGGGTACAAGTCTGCTCAAGTCTTGGATCCTTTCGTTGATGTTATCGCGGCGACGACGTTCAACGAGATTGTGAGACTCTCTTCGGCGCTTGCGCTTCATCTCTTGGGAAGAGACTGCTGTGCCTTGCGACGCACCGAGCTTTGCAGGCATAGACGTCCCGCCCTTCATCATGACCTCGTTGAGGCCGGCCATACCGGGCTGTACAGGTGAGAATCCGGGGTTGTACGATGCCGCCATGGGGTTGCTGGGTTGCATCCACTGTCCGGAGGGTGACTTTTCATGGATGCCCGGCGTGCGCACTGACTGGCTCGCAAAGCTGGTCGAGTCTTGCGAACCCATGGAGACGCCGTGCATCGCGGCCTTTGCTGTCATCGGGCTGCGGGTGCTGGAACCCTTGCGTTGCATGGTCTGTGCCATCCGTTGCCTGCTCTTGGCGTTGAGATAGTTGGCATCGACGCCATCCGGTGTGAGGTCGGAACCTGCGTGTGGTGATCCGGAGAAAGAGATGGGAGACTGCATTGATGCGCCCAGGGATTGGTGGTTGAAGCCCCCTCGGTAGTGTGAGTTGTAGCTGTGAACAAAGGGACTCTGGATAGGATCGCCATCAGGCGTGTTCGAGTAGCCATTGAGGTTTGAGTCCATGCCATGGTGAGAACCGTACATCGCCTGTGGGTAGCTCATGTTGATTTCAGACACCCCGCCGAGATCCTGGCCGTGCATGCCCCCTTGCCCATCGGTTGGGCTGTTGAGGCCGTCAAGCAGCTCATCGTCGCCGAAGAGCGCCGAGCCGCTGGAAAAGGCGTTTGAAGAGTTGGAGTTGGAGTTGGTGTTGTTGAAGTTGTTGTTGTGGTATGATGAGGAATAGTTGCCACCCATGGCGAGGTCGTTCGGGTCAATACTTCCACCACCGTTGGTGCCGCCCCCGAACTGACCGAAGCCGTGCTGAGCCATTGTGGAGGATGTATTCCGTAGATTGCGAGGGTGAATTTCGTGTCGCTTCAATAGTTTCGCTTTGGTGCCTACGCACGCCGTCTGACAGTGTCTGGGCTGGAACGTCGATCACGGTCGAGCAGGTGCGATTCTGCTCCCGATACAATTGAGGCTGCTATAGAGACACCGAGTTAGATCCAGAATGGATATAGAGGTTGGCCGGCGCAGATGGCGATGGAGGAACGCCGAGAGGGCCGGACGAACGTGATGGGCGACCACGACAGATGCGGAAAACCAGCTCGATGCGGGGTGGACGAGGAAA